ACCAACCACCCCACCCCCCAAAAAAAAATATTTAAGTTTGTTTTTAAAAAATGTTTTCAATTTCAAAAATTATTTTCTACTCTAGTAAAAATAAAAGATATTTCTCAAAAATATTTTTCATTCATAAATCAAACACTAAAAATCTTTTCCAAAAAATATTTTCTAATCACCAACCAAACATGAGAAAATAAGTCAAAAATCAACTTGTTTTCCAGGAAAACATTTTCTAGGAAAACATTTTCCATGGAAAACATTTTCCTTCATACCAAACACACCCTTAATCCTAACTTCGACTCTGATGACGATATCTGTGTGGATGGTGATTAATTATGAGAAGATAGGATATTAATAGTACCTTCTATACATCTTTTAATCAATGAAGGACCATTTTCAACTAAATAGATGACAACTTTCCAACATTAGAAAAACATATTCCTGTAATGGATCAAGAGATTATGTATTGCTGATCTTTTCCTTTATTGAAGATTGAGCTTATCCATCTTTTTTTTTTAGATGTAAGCTTCCTCTCACTATTAAAGATTTTTTCCTAATCAGTAAAAAATTTGTGCTATAAAATATGATTTCCTCCTCATTTTTCATCGAACCAACTGACTAAGAATCAAATAACAATGAATCAATGTCTTCAAACTTAAAATGTGTACAAACTAACAAATATATGTAATTGCCAAATATAAAAGTCAATAGATGGAGTGGTAATAATTGTCATTAATTATTTTTTTCATACTTATTTGTCTTTGGTGTAATAGCCAAAATAAAAGTTGTTTGGTCCCTTTGCCAGTCTGAAACCTCGAAGTGAAAGAAACCAAAACAAGGTTCACATGATACCTTGGTGCAAGGGCGGAGTTACCGACTATAATTTACGAATTTAGTTGAATTCAGTGTTTGTGATTTAAAATTTTTATTTGTTTAGAAAAAATCACTAAATATATATAAATTACTAAGTTAAAAGTCAGTAACTTAAAATAATTAGAATCTGAGTTGATAAAATTAAAATTCCCTCTCTGTTATTTACTCTTTGTTGTTTATATGTTTATATTTTGCCAGCAAGCTAGCTATAAGACAATTCAATAAAAGTTTCAATCAGTCTGAGATTTTATGCTAATACTTTATATTAGGGGGAGAAAATCTTGCATGATAAAAAAGAAGATTGACTTTTTTTTTTGTTTTCCTATCACATGTTAGATAATTATATTGAAATATATAAGGATCCAATTAAATTTGAATTGAACATGATTATAAAGCTATTATTAGGGCTACACTTTCAATAATATCTTTTTTATTTTCACGACTCAAATTCAAGATCATCACAACCTATGAATCGACCGGTAAATTAAAAAAGATCGAATTTTCCCTTTCAAACTTAGCATATGAAGGGATTCAACGTATAAATAGATTAGGATAAACTTCAAAACACAATATGTAACATCAAACGACAAGGGGTACTAAAAACTTATCTCTAGATTATTTTTTTAATCCATCACACTAAACGATCCCATATAAGTAAAGTGCCTTAAAATGTGTGCAAAATGGGACACTGTGAAATAGTACTTCAAAAAAAAAAAAAACTATTCACGGACTATATAATCAGAACTCACGGATTGGATATTGAAGTTTGCAATTTCAATTTTACAATACACCTAATCACTTTGGAATTCCTCCACATACGTGTTGCTCTTTCATGGAATTAATTCCTTCACGGGTTACACATACAATACATCTATAAAAACTATAGTCTATATCAAAATTCAACAGCATAACATTTTTAAAAAATTGGAATAAAGAGTTGAACAATAATTTTTTCGTATTATAAAGAAGAAAATAGCTATGGGTTCATCAAAGATTTCAGCAATGTTGTTCATTTGTATGATTTTCATGTCAATGTGTTTGTTATCACCAGCTTATGCTTCATATGGTCAATGCCCATGTACTCCCAAAACAAGAAAAACAACTCCAACCAATTTCAAAACTAGCTGGAATTGGCTACATGATCCTTGATATTCACTCTATTCAACTTAGAGCCAAATTCATTCCAATACTCAATAGTTCTATTTGAGACCAATTATTATGGTTTGGCAAGAACATGATATAATTTTAAACTCAAAATTAATTGTAAATTCATACACACTTGCAACTACGAACTAATGTTAAAACAAGAATCACTCACCATTAGTCCAAGACCACATAGACTAACAACAGTAACACTCTTCCAGTGGTCAGCACACCCCACTGGTGTACCTTCCCCGATTCCAAAACCACCGCCATTGGCGAAATTCGACCTCATCAACTTTGACAATACCCCCATCCCATCACTCTGCTGGCTTGACCCCCCCCCCCGCCACATCATCACCCTCATCCACCTAAGTCTCCCGGTAGGCCCCACCCTCCACCATCGACTCCACGTCCACACCCACCGACCACCAAACCGCCACCTCATCATGGTGGACCACCTCCTAGGGTTTTGCCACCTATCGTCTTTCCGCCACCTGTCGTATCACCTCCAATCACTCGCCCGCCACCTGGCATTTTACCGCCTATTGTCAATCCACCTGGCATTATTCCGCCAATCACACGGCCACCTGGCATTATTCCACCAATCACACGGCCACCTGGCATTATTCCACCAATAACAAATCCTCCTGGAGGTGGAGGAGGATTCCCGCCACCATCTGGTGGTGGTGGTGGCGGATATCCTCCTTACGCACCTCCTAGTGGAGGTGCACCACCTGGCGGAGGCGGAGGTGGAGGCATACCAGGTATTGTTCCACCTCCACCCGTCACGTGTCCTATAGATGCATTGAAACTTGGGCTTTGTCTTGATGTACTTGGAGGATTAGTGCATATTGGAATAGGAAATCCAGTGGAACATATATGTTGCCCAGTATTACAAGGATTGCTAGAGCTAGAAGCTGCTATTTGTCTATGCACAACTATAAGGCTTAAACTTCTAAACCTTAATATTTTCCTTCCTCTTGCACTTTCAGTTCTTGCAACATGTGGTTTAACTCCTCCTCCTGGTTTTGTTTGTCCTCCTCTTGTTTGAATTATTAGGTTTTTTTAAATTATGTTTGGTCTTTTGTTTGTAATATTTTGTAAGGTACGTAAGAGCTAAAATGCAAATAATTATGAGTTTTTAAGTCTTGTTTTTTTTTTTTTTAAATTTGTTTCTTTGTTATGTTTGGTACTTTAATTTGCTCCCACAAAATTTGATTCGAGAAATTAACTTGATAATAATATTGGCGTGGGTTCTTATGTTAATTTCTCTAAACTTCATTTAGTATCTTTCTTAACTCGATCACATAAAAAAAAGTCGTTAGATTTTTTTCCCCAAAGCTAATCAGAGCGATAAACAGCTGAATCTAGTAAAGTATAGTAGCAAGACCATATTTAAATTGTATACTAAAAGTTGTTGGATACGTAAGATTCGCTTTGAGTGAACTACAATATTTGCAATTTTTTTTGGTAGTTTTTCACGTTTTGAACTAGAAAAACATTGCAAACAAACAAAGTTGCAAAAATTGAAATTCATCACTTTTCCAGCAAAAACCTAATATATGTCAATTAGATGTCGTTTGGTGCAGGCTAAGGTCGGATATCCTAAAATTACGCATGAAATAAAATTTATATTGAATTTGGTTGACGCTTAACGGTATAAATTTATACTATATGCAATTTAAATTTAATCTGATCTACTTAATCATAGAATAATATATCATCCTATACGATTCAACTTTAAAATGTTTTTCCCGTCTCCTAAATGGTATAAATTAGTCTTAATAATTATAATCTCAGAATAATTTAGTCAACGTACTGAAGGACCCCATACTATATAGTCGTAATTTTAGCCTTCAAGTGGCCAAATTGTCGAACCGCGTAAAAAGAAAGTAAAACAAAGGGAAAGACGAAAAAGAATGTTGGACGTCAAGATCAATTACTAAGTCTAAAGATTAATATCCACCTATAATTTGTATTTGTACTATATATATATATATATATATATAGGAATAATGCATGAACTATACTTGTGGCTAATTATAGTTCTACTAAAGCACATTGGTCCCATTTATGAAAATATCACTTTCTTAGGTCTACTCTCCCCACCCAAAAAATAAAAATAAAAAAAGGAAAAACTGAAATGACTTGAATGGACATAAGAGCATGAGTCTTTGTCAAATTAAAACCATGCATAACGACTTGTTTAACCCGCTAGTCAGTGGCAGAATCATGATTTATACTAAAAAATTCAAGATATACAAAAAAAATTTATAAAGAAGTCGAAGGAGCTTCGGTCTCTACTATATATATATATATACATAAAATATATTATTTATCATGCATAAATGATGGAGTATAATCTTTCATTGAAGGCCAAACTTCCTGGGTCCTATCTAATCATAGCGCGTAGTGTACTAATAAATAGGAAAAACAAATTAAGATTACTAATGACATAGGGGAGTTACGCTAAAATATATATA